ATGTTCTTTATTTCTGCTATGTGATTCTTCATTTCTGCTTGATGGATTTTCATTTCCAACTGATTGATTTTCACTGTTCTATACCTGCACCCATGCTGCTGAGTTGCCTCATTATCATCACTTTGAACTTCACCTCTGATAACTTGCTTAACTGCTTTTCATTTATCTCATTTTCAATAACGTTCTCTTGTTCTTTCATTTGGGATTTGTATCTTTGTTTCACAATTTTGGCTGTCTCAGTGGGTTAGAGGCTGCCAATTTCTCCTGTACATGTTGGTGTCTGCTGGTTGTGGCTCCCTCTACTGTGTTTGAATGAGTGTAGGAAGACCCATGTTAAACACCACTGTCAAGTCTTACTTTTCTGGGTAGATTTGCAAGCCCAGGAAAGGTTCAGTTATCCTCTAGCTTTTTTCTTGGAGACTATTAGTCTCAGTTTCTTAATGAGCCTTGATTTGTAGCCCTCAGTTGAATGAAAAAATCCCTTGGGTGTTCAGGGTAAGAGGATTTCCAGCAGGTAGGGCAGATGCTTGCTGGCAGCCTCTAGCTGTTAATTAGCTTCAATTTGCATTTCTCTGGCCTGGCCTAGTGGTGTTAAATTCCTGAGGGAGGGGCTGTTGCTTCTCCCTGGGCTCTGGGAAGGGGCTCTTTGAGTAATATGGCTACTGTCCTGTGAGAAGGGTTTCAGCACAAAACTCCTATTGCTCCCAAGTCTGCACACAGTTCCAGTCCAGTCTGCCCTCCCTCTGCATGAGCCCAAGGTGAGTGGCTGTAGGTAATTTAGTGCTCTGTCCCTGCACTCTGCACTGTGGAGCTGGCTCGGGATTTTAACCTTGAGGGAGCTGCTCACAGCTAAACCAGCTGCTCTCCGTGGGCACCCAGCCTGCCCTCTCACACCTCCGTAGTTCCTAACAGGCTCGATTTAGTGTCCTCTTTTTGTCCCTGGTTATATGGGTTCTCTCCAGCTGCTTTTCTGTTTTATCTCCCGCCCCCCCCCAACAATTTGTCTTTATTTTAGTTGTAATTCCAGTTTGGTCCTGGGAGATGGTCTGTGTAGCTTCCATTCACTTCGCTGCCATCTTGAAATCTGGCCTATGCTCCTTTTTAGGCTGCTTCTTTGAAAGCTGTTTGTGTCATAAATTATCTCAAGTATATTTCTTTTGTTAGCTGGGAAGTGACATTTGGAATAAGGGCCATTAGTGTCCTTATTATTATTTTTATCAGAACTTAAACATGTCAGAAGAGAAAAGAAAATCCTGTAATCCTAACAAGATACTGCTCAGTTGTACCAAAAATCTTTAAATTCTAACTCATTTGGGCACATTTATTAAAAGAATGATTGTTATAGAAACCTCACTCTATCCTCATCCTATCTTCACAATTTTTTTTTGGTATTTACTCTAAAAAACAGTATCAAATTACTACAAACTTAAAGTCTGCACCCCTAATGTTTATGTGAAACCAAACAACACTTGATTGTCTTTGAAGAAAATCAAACTTAACAGACAGAGGGCCTGGATATTTCAGTGTGTAGTCTAACATATTTGTTTTTGCATTTTAAATATTTTTCACAAAACTTTATTTTTGATAGGCTGTATACTATCAATGGTTTACTTCTTTTGTGACATAAGAAATAAATCAATAAGGCATAATAACTAAATTTGGATTTCTGAATTTTTTTGGTGGTAGATTTTAGTGCATTTGTAAACTTAAGAGTTGAAAGAAGAAGAAAAACAACTCGTAAGGATTGAGCAACAATACAGACTACAGCAAGCAATGAATTCACGTGGCTCCCACCTTCCTTTCTTCAAGTCCTTTGGTATATTAGGACTGATGCATAACTGAGTGAGTCCTCTAGTCCTTACTTTTCTGATGATGGTGTAGTTTTGAACATGGAAAGTGATCTAGTACGTGAAATCCATCATCTATTGTCTTGTCTTTCTTGCATCTCAGGTTGCCACCCATCCGTTTTCTATGTTTTAAATTGTGTAGGGTTGAGGCAAAGATCCAGACCACAGAACAATGCAAGAGAGAAGCAGAGGGCAGCCTGCTATGATGGAGGGACCAGAAAAGCTAAGAGACATAGGAAGGAGCAGACCTTCCCTGCATGTGGCTGTGATACCTGCTATAGGTAACACCAGTGAGCCCTTCCTGATCTTTTCTCTATGAGGAAGAGAGAGCAGGGTAAAAAAAAGGTTATATAGCTCATTTGAGGTGAATAAGTTACCTATCCTGCTTTCAAGGTATGTCAGTGTAGGTGAGAAAGACATTTAAGCCAGTGATTAAACTTGTTAAGGTAATTATTATAATGGGGAGCGATTTTGAACAGAAACAGCATAGATATGGAAGCAAGTCAAACTCACCCTTTTACTGAGCTTTGTAACCAAGAGCAATGCGATTAATGGCTTTGATCTTGTTTCTTCATTTACTGGAGGGGGGTACATTCTCTAACTGGCAGATAATGCATGTAAAGTGCCCAATATTGGGCTTAGCATCCAATAAACCGCAGAGTGTGGATATGCATCAGGGGCTAATGCAGGCCTCCAGGCCAGTGAGCCCACTGAGTGCAGAGTTCCCTGTCACAGTGCAAGAAAGGCTTTCATTGGAACACTGAGGCCCAGAACTAGCAAGGAGTTGTCACAGGCAGAAGTTAGTCCCTATCGATTTGAAGGAAAAATACTGTGGCTGGCAGCCCCCAAAAGTTCACTGCCATTTTTTCTGTCATCCTGATTTCTGACACTTGAATGGGTTCCACCTGAGTCACTTTTGGCCACTTAGCTTCTTGTTTACTTGAAGAACCCTGCTCTTCCTTCTTTTCCAGGCCTTCCATATTGTGTTTTCCTCTTGCCTTTCTCTCTACTCACTGGCTTACTGTATTTGAATAGTATTATGTTTTGAAGTCATATTATATACGCATTATAATAGAGATGAGTCATAAGAAAAATAGATTTTATTTGGTCACTGCTGCCTTTTTGTGAACTAAAAGCGATTGGTTAATGTTAATTGAGCTCTTACTAAGTGTTAGGTACTCCACATTTTATGCATTATATCATTGTTGATCAGACTTTAATGTAAATATATGTCAGCTGGGGGTCTTGTTAAAAGGTAGGTTCTGATTCATTTGCTCTGGGGCAGGGCCAGAGAGCTCCATTTTTAACAAGCTACTGGGTGATGCTGCTGGTCCACAGACTGCATTTTGAATAGCAAAGCATTATATCTTTTGATCCTGGGGACAACAGTATGAGGTAATTATTATTATTATTATTATTATTTGCTTTACATATGTGGAAACTAAAGGTTAGAGGAATTCGATAATTTTCCCAAGGTCATGTTGCCAGAAACCAGCAGAGCTTGAACTCTAACCTAGGCCTGCCTCCTGAAATAGTGAATGTTACCTGGGTTTTGGAAATGTCCTACAACACCCAAGGGTGATCTGAGGCTACTTGAAATAGAATTTAAATTTTTAGTTGACTAATTCTTTTTTTTTTTTTTTAAATGAAACTTTTCCAGTTTAATTCCTCTTTATGCAGGATTTTGTCTTACATGGTGATTCAGCTGTTGGATTTTGTTTCTAAAGATGAGATGTAAAGTTTAGTGGAATTTGCCAAAATTCTAGTTTAGAAAACATTGTGTCACTGATGCAGTCTGGACTGAACACAAGAGGAAATAGCTGGGGAAGGATGCATGTGAACAGAGGAAATCCTTAGCTGATTTATAGTTTAACACTGGATGGACACAGGCCAGCACAAAAAGAGTTAGTCCCTGTCCTTAACAGATCAGATATATTTAAAAATATAGCATTTGACCTGCTTATAAAATTCATGTTTTATAATAAAAATGTGAGCATCAGAAATGTACTTAAAAAAATTATCTGAACTTCAACCAGCGGGATTTCCCATTTTACTTTTATTTTCGCATTTTAAAAGGCCTCACATGTATATTTAAAAGGCGGAGGACTACCTTTACACAGAATAGCAAGAGTTCAGTGTGGCAATATCTTACCATAAATAATTTCAACACTATTTTTGGTTTTGAGGGGCAGTGGGAGTAAAAGGGGCAGCGTTAGGATCCACCCCTAACCCCCATTTCTCACCCCGCAAAGATTTAAGAAATGCAAATGCGCTGTTTCAGCCCAAGCAAGAGTTTTGAAGGCTTGTTTCAACTTTCACTAAGGGTCCCAAGGCTCTGTGGGACCATGCAGCGGGGGACTGATGCTAATCGCTCTCAAACCAGGTCCCGGGTCACTGGCGCATGCGCAGTGTGGCCGCCGGGTTCCGTGGGCGTTTTGCAGGCCTATTTCTCCCTGGCAGGTTTTGTGCGGTCAGCACAAGGGCCAGAACGGCGACCGTGAGCAGTTCTGATCCTGAGCCAGGAGGTGGAAACCGTCTCTAAGTGAAAATCACCCCTTGTCCAAATAGGTTCGGGGTTTGGGGGCGGGTTTCTGCAGGCGTCTACACACACACACACACACGCACGCGTGTTTAACGTGCCAAAAACATCCTAACGCTACTAACTTGGAGGAAGAGCACTTATGTGTCGGGAGAGAATTTAAGGGATAAAAACGGGGAGGGGGTGGGGCACCGATGTCTCAAACTTTCAACGTTCTGTCTCCAGAGGCTCTGAACCCCGTTTGCATTTGTCTGAGGAGTCCAGGCGCCCCGATTACTCCTTTGCTCCTCTCACACCACTTACAAAACCTCTCCAGCCGCTTGGGGGTTCTCAGAAGGAAGCCCACGATGTAGGAGTGTTCAGCTACACTGTCCCCAAACCGGGAAGCCGCCCTGAGAGCCAATCCCCGGACGCCTGGGGCCGTGAAGCTCCGCGCCCGCAGGCTGGTGGTGGGCGGACGCTGGGACGCCCCAAGCCGCCCCCGCCCGGCCGCGACCCCAGGCCTGGGCGGCGCGCGCTCCCACCAGCGCCTCTGGGGACTCGCAGACGGCGGCGAGACGGGCGGGCGGCGCGCTGGGCATGCTCAGTCGCCGGGCGCCAGGCTCGCAAGTCGGAAGCCTGTGCGCGGCCGCCGCCGCCGAGCCGGCCGAGGCGCACAGAGCGCGCGGGACTCACTGCAGCGGCGGCCGGGCGGCGGCGGACCGGGGCTTGGAGCGAGCCGAACCCCGCGGGGGGCCCCCCGTCCCCGGGCCACGGCGCCGGCTCCCTCGCACCCTCTCAGGGAAGGGGACGGCCCGGCTGGCGTCGGCGGGGCGCGCAGGAACCGCAGCGGCGGCCGCATCCTCGCCGCCTGCCCGGGCCGGGCCGCGTCCCTGAGCCGTCGGGCATGGAGCCGTGGAGGCAGTGCGCCCAGTGGCTCATCCATTGCAAGGTGCTGCCCGCCAACCACCGGGTGACCTGGGACTCGGCGCAGGTGTTCGACCTGGCGCAGACCCTCCGCGATGGAGTCCTTCTCTGCCAGCTGCTCAACAACCTCCGGGCGCGCTCCATCAACCTGAAGGAGATCAACCTGAGGCCACAGATGTCCCAGGTGAGGGGGCCGGCGGGCGCCACCGCCTCCAGCCGGCGTCTCCCATTAATCACCCTGCTAATTTCTTTGTGTGGATGCAAACATGTAGGTGCGCCCCGGCTTGCCCTGCCTCCCAGCCTTCTGCTTTGGGGAGCACTTCGGCTTGTTCACCCTGGCTGGGACTGGCTGAGCTCTGCAGCTGGATGCCAAAGCCCCGCGTCCGGAGGTGGTGGAGGTTTCGGAAAGGCTTTCTGTGAGGCGGGAAACAATATTGTCTTAGGGTGCCCTTCACCTACTTTTGTGCATGTTGTGTGCGTGTGTGTGCAACAAAAGGAATCTGATCCAACCCTTTAATAATAAGGAAGGCGGGGGATGAACCGAGATGATGAGGTGATTTTTGCCTTTAGTTTGTTCTTTGGCTTTGCGTTTCGTCCCCATGTTTTCTTGAAAGAGGAACCATGACTTCAATGAGGACTCTAGGAAGTGGAGGGCGTACCCGCACCGTTATCTGTACTGCGATGACCCTGGTCAAAGGGAGGAAAAGGGATCGCCACGCAGCGGTGCCCCGAAAGCCCCCTGAGCGTGTGGCCAGCTGGCAACCGAGAGGCTGTGTTTACAGCTCTTGCTGAACCATGTGAGAAGGAGCGAGGCCAGCCTCTCTCAGCAGCGACAGGAAATGAGAAGTTTCGCTCGAGATTCCGCTTTCCCTCATTCAGGGCTGGCTCCCGTGTCCGGAGCCTTGCCTGGAGGTGCCTCTTTGAGGGGTTAAAAAAAAGGGGGGGCAATTCTGGAAGGCTGTGTGCACCCTAGAGTCAACTCAAAAGTCACAGCTCAGTGGAATAGTACTTTCTGGGTCCTGTCGGAAAGTTTTTGCACAAAAAGTTGGTAAACCCGATTCAGCACATGGATTTTTCTCTTTCACAATGTAAAAAACCCGCTTTAAACTTAAAAGGGAGAGGAGAGAGTCTCTTCCATGACACATTGGAGCACTCATCCTGAATGACATGGAGCCTCAGCTGCTTAGCAACCAGAGTAGTGCCTTTTACAAGGGACTGACTTTGTATACTTCACTAATTATGTATTCATCTCTTCTTCTTGATGTCAGTGTTTTATCAGGGTCCCTCTGCACCTCAAATTCAGCATCCCTTGTCGGCCTACCTTCAACTAGCTGGTTAGTAGGCTCCAAGAAAGCACAGGCTTGTAAGGGGTGACAGCCGTATGTTTTTAGAATTGAGATAAATTGTTTTCTACTCTCCTACAATCCTGGATGGTGACTGCTAACTCCGTGGACCCCTATTGAGTTGCCCCCATTCTGGACATTCTGTCCAGGGTGTTAGCAGACATTTCCATTCAGCTGGGTGCCGACAGATACCCATTCTCCACCTGGCCTCTAGCCTAGGGGCAGAGCAGGTCAGGATGCCTGGCCCACCAGCAGGAATAATAGCACTGTGTGCATTTCCTGAAACTTCAGTGTCCGGGATCCCTGGGGAGTTGTTCAGTAACTTGTTCTCAATGATCAGGTTTTCTGAACGGCTGAGGATCTCTCTTTTTAACCTCCTAACCCTTATTTGAATGTTAACAATTGTTAAAAATCTTTTAAAATTGTTTTTGCTCTATCTGCTCTTTGTAGCACATATTAGATATAATTTTTGTTTGTTTTTTTAATCCTCACCCAAGGACATTTTTGCATTTATCTTTAGATAGAGCAGGAGGGAGAGAGGAAGGAAGAGTGAGAGAGAAACATCGACTGGGGAGAGAGACACATTGACTGGTTGCCACCCACACGACCCCAATCCGGGCCGGGGACAAACAGCAACCAAGGTATGTGCCCTTAGCGGGAACTGAACTTGGAACTGTCTGGTCTGCGGGTCGACGCTCTAACAGCTGAGCCAGATATAATTTAATCCTTTTGATGACTAAAGACTGTGATTATAAGCATCATTAATGAAAATGAGCACTTATGATGCTCTGAGAAATCTGTTCCCTACTGGGGGTACCATAATGAACACAGCAGGATCCTTGCCCTAAAGGAATCATTACTGTGCTATCAGATAAGCCACAAGGCCATAATGAGCAAAACAGCTGAATGACCTTCCTTAGGCTGCTGTGCTTTTGGACTCTTAAGTCTGACCAGCTCCGAGCTTCCTGGTTCCTACTTCAGTGCAGTTTCCTTTGTAATGTCCTGTGAGTGAGGGCTTCTCCCAGAAGTGAACCCTGGAAGGCTGGTGCCTGAATACGGTAGTCTCTTTTCTTCTTGGTTCTTGGCCACATTGCAGAGAGATAAGGTTGCTAAACAGCTGAGTGCTGGACAAGTGAGTGTGCATCATACAAATTGTCATTAAATCCTTAAATGAGACTTATTAAATGGTTTCAGTGAACAAGTTGACATATTTAACACACCTGCAAGTGTCCTGCACATACTATGTAACTTAATAGGTGTTCAATATTAGCAAAATTATTTGAAACATTTTTTTCCCTGTTCTATTGTCATAGGTTACAATAGAAATTTTAAAAGACTTGCAAGGCCTACAAATGTTTTTGTGGATGACATCTCTAAATATTTCTGACTATTCATATAACTTTCTTGATAAAGGATCTAGATGCTTCTGTCATAAGGTTCTTACTCCATCAGCTCGATTCATACTCTGCAGTGAATAACCTAGAAATTCTGACATGCTCCCAGCAGACTTTCCCTTCTGAATTTGGAGTTGTCATTACTAGTACTTGTGGCTTTTCCCGTGTCTAAGAGCCATTCTGTTCACCTGATTTAGGTTCTACTGAAGATGTTCATTTGAAATGGACCTAGAGCACATGATCTTCTAAGCCAGGAAATACCTGGAAGCTCTCACTTTCTAGGTGTGTGGTATCTGAGACTGTTATGAACAGATGCTGAAAAATGAAATTTTAGTTTACTGATGTTTTGCTTGAGCCATGAGGCCTGTCTATGAGGGTAGAGAGGTGAGAGCTTGGAAAGGAGTTAAGAGGGAGGGGCTGAGGGATAGGAGGGAAACCAGTACAGTGTGGTTCTAGAAATCCAAGTGAATGAAGTGTTTCTAGGAGAAGGAGTGATCAGACGTTTCAAATGCTGCCCATGGATCAAGTAAAACAAGCATTGAGGATGGAATATTGTATTAAGCAAAATAAAATTGGGGGCCTTGTAATTTTTGCTGTAAATAGAGCAGGAAAAAATGGGGTCTTGGCTAGTAGGAGGAAAAGGATCAAGAAAGGATTATTTGCTTATCACATAGAATTCTTATTTTATACCTATTAAAAAAAACTCTTTTAGATTGAGACAATTTTTTCAGATGACACTCTTGTCTATAGGTGTATGTGTGGGAAAAATGAATATATATGTATATAAAAAAATATAAGTGAAATGAACTTACTGTGTTCCTGAAACTTTACTCAGATTGCTACTCTTCTGAATACCACTTCCTCTGAGAGTCATTGATTTCCATTGATTATGGTTTTTTGACATACTATTTTATTCTGAGTACTAAGGGTTGGTGATGTAATATTTCTAAAAGAACACACTACTGTTGTCCCCAAGATTTCTTTCCAAGCTGGAGGTGGGTTTTGATGCTGTTACTGCCTTTTACAAAAAAAGTTAAAGAGAGCTGTATTTCTGTTCTACATAACTGTACATAGATTTTAAAATTTTGATTCTGTTAGTTTTACATTCAGGTGTACATTCCAAATACATGGCTGTACTCCTTGCCCCTCAAACAAGGGCTGTATGAAATGGTTGGGTTACACTTTGGGGATGAAAAAAGGATATCATTGTCCAAAAAGAGTGGTGTGCCCGGTTATATTTTTAGTCAGTTCAGAATAATGTCAATATTTAGTCTTTCTTCTCAGAAGTCAATTAGCTCTTTGCCATTTTTAGAATATTCTCTTGGATAATTTGTTAGCACATTATTTTGTGTGTGTGTGTGTGTGTGTGTGTGTGTGTGTGTGTGCATGAGATTAACTAGATACACAGCAATCTCTTAAACTTTTTTTTATTTCTTGTCCTGGCCAGTGTGGCTCAATTGGTTGAGCATCATCCCATACACCAAGAGGTTGTCAATTCAATTCCCACTCAGGGCATATGCCAAGATTGTGGGTTCGATCCCCAGTAGGGGGTATGCAGGAGGCAGCTGATTGATATTTTTCTGTCACATCAATGTTTTTCTCTCTCTCCCTTCCTCTCTTTGTAAAATCAATGAAAACATTAAAAATCTTTTTATTTCTCAATTACAATTTACATTCAATATTATTTTGTATTAGTTTCAGATGTACAGCATAGTGGTTAGAAAATCATGTACTTTACCTGATATTTCAAGTGCCCACCTGGCACCATACATAGTTATTACAATATTATTGACTGTGTTCCCTATGCTGTGCTGTACTTCCCTGTGACTATTTTGTAACTGCCAGTTTGTACATCTTATCCCTTCATCGTTACTACCCACTCCCCTAATCCCCCTTCCCTCTGGCAACCATCAGTTTATTCTCTGTACCATTGAGTCTGTTTCTATTTTGTGTGTTTGTTTATATTTTTCTTTAGAGTTCAAATGTAAGTGAAATCATATAGTATTTGTTTTTCTCTGTCTGATTTATTTCACTTAGCATAATACCTTCTAGGTTCACCCATGCTGTTACAAGTGGTAAGATTTAATTCTTTTTTTTTTTTAATGGCTGAGTAATATTCCATTGTATATATGTATTATAATTTTTTTCATTCATGTATTGATGGGCACTTGGGTTGCTTTCATATATTCTGCTAGCATAATTTTAAACTTAACACCAGTCACGATCTTTTCATGTAAAGTAGTTAAGGCATATTAAGGTATAGTAAGTACTTGTTCTGTGTGCATCCTGAGCCTGGGATGAAGGATGGAAGTCCTGAAACTTTATTGGTGAGGTACAATCCCATGGCTGCCAGGACAAGGAAAATGAAAGTGTCTTTTAAAAAAAATTTTAAGATGGTGAAAATTTTATCATGTTTGTAATGCAGATGGGATTGATCCACTATAGAT